ACAAAAATTAATTATGTTATTATACATTCAGTATAGTTCAGTCGATCAGTCGTGTATGACTCTTTGCAACCCCATGGACTGCAGCTCACCAGGCTTCCCTGTCCATCAACAACTCCGGGAGCTTGCTCAAACTCATGTCCATCGAGTCACTGATGCCATCCAGCCATCTCATCCTCTGTCATCCCCTTCTCCTCCTGCCTTCAATCTTTCCCAGCTTCAGGGTCTTTTCCAATGAGTCAGTTCCTCGCATCAGGTGGCCAAAGTATTGGAGTTCAGTAACCAACAATTAAAACTATTAAGAATAACATCAAAAATAGAAAATATTTCTGAGTAAATTTAACCAAAAAATGCAAAACTTGAAAACTATTAACTGAAAACTGAAAACTATAAAACCTTGTTGAATGTTTAAAAGACCTAAATACATCTAGAGATATCTCCTGTTTACTGATCTGGAAATCAGTAGTGTTAAAAGGTGTATTCTCCTCAAATTGATCTACAGATTCAACTCAATCTCAATCAAGATTTCAGAAAACTTTCTTTTGGAGAAATTAATAAACTGTTTCTGAAAATTATATGAAAATTCAAAGCACCTAAAATAACCAAAATAAGTTAAAAAAATAAAAACTTCATATAAGTTTACAGTAGTCAAGAGAGTATCACATTATCAAAAGATAGACTTATGACCACTAGAGCAGAAGACAGACCTCAGAAAGAAGGCCACACGTACATAGGTAATTTAATAGGTACTTTAATATCAATTAAAGTACAAAGTCAATTCAGTAGTTAAAATATTGTCTTTTCAACAAAGGTTACAAAAAACCTTGTATATCCATATGCAATATACTTGGGGCTTCTCAGGTGGCACTAGTGGTAAAGAATCCACCTGCCAATGCAAGAAACATAAGAGACACGGGTTCTACCGCCAGGTCAGGAAGATCCCCTGGAGGAGGGCATGGCAACCTACTTAAATATTCTTGCCTGGAAAATCCCATGGACAAAGGAACCTGGTGAGCTAAAGTCTGTTGGGTTGAGAAGAGTCAGACACAACTGAAGTGACTTAGCACACACACACACACATGAGATATATGCATACATGTATATACACATGCATGTACATATATATGTATATACATGTATATATACACACTATATATATATGTATATATATCTTGGTTCTCACTTCATACCATATACAACAATTATCTCTACAGAGATCACTTACCTAAATATAAAAGCTATAAAAAAACAAATATAAAAACTGAAAAAAATATAAAAGCTAAAACTATAAGCCATCTTAAACAAAACATAGGGGAAAATGTTTGTGATCTTAAGCTATGTAAATGTTTATTAAATAAGACAGAAAAATCTCAAACCACAGAGCAACGAAAAAACGAACTTCATCATGATTAAAAACATTTTCCCACCAAAAGACACTCTTAATAAAATGGAAGTCACAGACTGGGAGAAAATATTAGTAAAATGTGTAGGGACAAAGGGCTTATATTACGAATTTATTAGAGATCTTACAACTCGCTAATTAGAAAACAAAACCCAAGTGAAAAATTAGCCAAAGATTTAGATGACACCTCACCAAAGGCAATGCATAAATGTCAAATAAGTACATGAAAAAATATTCAATATTATTATGAAAATTAAAATAATATCATGATTAGATACCACTACACACCCACTAGAATGGCTAAAATTAAAAAATTTGACCATACCAAGTATAGTCAAGATGTAAAGCAACTGGACCTCCCAGAAATTCCTGGATATCAAAAAAGTTCATCTAGGGAAACATGCTCAATATTTTGTAATAACTTATAAGGGAAAGGAATCTGAAAAATATATATGTATAAAAGAATATGCATATGAAATGGGATCATTTTGCTATATGCTTGAAATTAACACAATATTGTAGATCCATTTTTTTAAAAGTTCAGCTACACTAGAGAACAGTTTAGCAGCTTTTTCTATAACTAGATATACATTTATACCAAGAATTACATTCTTAGGTACTTACTGAAGAGAAAGAAAAACATGTCTCAACCCAAAGACTTGCCCTTGACTATTTGTATCAACTTTATCTGCTATAACTCCAAACAGGAAATAATCCACATGTCCATAAACTTGTGAATAAGCACATAATGGTACATCCATGTGGCTTTCCTGGTGGCTCAGTCAGTAAAGAGTCCACCTGCAATATGGGAGACCTGGGTTCGGTCCCTGGGTCGGGAAGATCCCCTGGTACATACATACAGTGGAATCCCACTCAGAAAAAAAGGGTTGAATTACTGCCACACACAATGGTCTGGATGAATATCAAAACCATTATCCTGAATGAAAAAAGTCAGATCCAAAAGAAAATATAATATATGATTTCACTTGTATGAAATTCTAGAAAAAGAAAAAACTATAGTGTTAGAAAGATCAATGGTTGCCAGCCAAGGGTTAAGAGAAAGGAATTGTTGCAAAGGATACAGGGAAATTTTTGATGTGAATGTGATGCTCCATAGTGTAGTTTTGGTGGTGATTACAAGACTGTATATTTATCAAAACTCATCAAATTGTAAACTTGAAATTGGTGACTTTACTGTGTGTAAATTATAATTCAATGAAGACAGTAATAATAATAATTACTCTAGTAAACTGTTTATTTGATAGCATAGTAATTAGTAATTTGAAGTATGTTCCATGTCTCTCAAAGAGAATTCTAAACAGTTAAGATCCTGCATTTATTGTATAAAAACAAATAACATAGATTTGCTAACTCCTGAGAGGATAGTCTCAACCCTTTCTGGCCCTGCTTTTCTTCTGTAGTCAGGGTCTGTTCTGACATTTAGAACCATGTTTATAGATGGCTATTTGAACAAATCCCAAGATGAGTGATGTCCTGAGGCTTCATTAACAAACGGGTTTCTTATCTTGTTTTAACAACCTCATTACCAACTTCAGGAATAATTAATTTTAAGCCTAGCAAACATTTCTGTGGTAACAGAAGTTAATTGAGTCAAATGCATAATTTTTGAACAATACTTAAGGAGAAAATGTGTGACATAGCCAAAGCCAGAATTTGTCCAGACACGATTTTGTAGGGGAAAGTACTTATTTGGTGTCCCCAGTTCAAGAATTGGAATATTGAGTGGAATTTTCTGTCAAGTACCAGCCTTCAATCACCTCACTTTAATCATATCTGGAAAGACTCATTAAACCTGGGATTTCATAAAGACCACAAAAATCATTCATTAAATAAGGACATTTTACTGTGGAGTGGAGTATATGAATGGTTGATTTAAGTTTAGACCTATTTTTAATCATAAAAATACTCTAAGGGAGTAGTGAAATGCTTATCTGGAGTGACAGAACTGACCATGGTGAATTTTGACTTGGTCTTCTCCAGCTCTTGCTGTTTCTGAACTGACTATTTGTTCACTTATTTTTGATGTCTGTGTTTCTCAATATCCCAAATCTACCGTTATATTTCCATTATACCTTCCTTTTATGAGGACTGATATACTGAGGCCAGCATGCCCTCAGAATCTATGTGATTATTAAAAATTCAAAGTCCCCTGTGACTAAATTTATAAAGCTCTGTTCACACTTCTCTGTGAACCAGGTTTCCTCTCAAGCTTTTCAAAAAAAATATACCTGTGGCTAATGTTAATCTTCCCTCTCTTCATTGCTACATTGGAGAAGATTTTCAAGTTTATCCCAGGTTTGCTCAAGAAAACTAAAGCAGTCATTTAAATCACCGCTACAAAAAAAATTTTTTTTTTCTCATCACCCCATCGTACCCCACTACTTAGAAATCATTCACTGTACACATTCTTTCAATGTTTAGTATAGAACACTTCCCCCTCTTCCCCGCTTCCCCCCTCCCTACAACTCTTCAATGCCTCATCTCCAAGAACAGGAGCAAAGAATAAAAGCTATTAACTTGCTGACCTGTAGAGGATTTGATATTTAACCTGAAAGACATTTCCTGGGCTCCCACTCTGCTAAGAGAAGGCATCCAGCCACAAGGGGTAAATTGGACGGAGATCAGTAAACAAGCAGGAAGTAGCTCTCAGCTTCCTAATCTCATCTGAGCTTTCACCAAGATACACTTAGTAGATCTAGCAGACAAAAGCATAATTAAATGTCACCAATACTTTATATAAATAATGACTATGATCAAATGTGACAGTAGGATGTGAAATTATTCAAAAGAATAATATTTTAAAAGATTTAAGAGTGAAGACTTCTCTGTGAAGAACAGAAGAATATAAATGACTAAATAGAAAAGAAATGACAGGTGTTTAAATGGCCATGTATTTTCAGAGTGAGAGGAAAATGTGAAAATAGGAAAACTTTATGAAATGAAATTATTGCTTGTGGGCAAAGGAAAAAAAATGTCAGTAATGTTGCTATCCACTTAGCTGGGGGGGAGGGAAGGGACTATTTTTTCAACCAGTACTTTATGAAAACAGAATGAGGGGATAGTAAGTGAGGAGTTGATGTTGAAACCTGCCTCCACCACTTATCATTTGAATGACTGTGGACAAGATACAGAGTGACACTAAGCTTCTGATTCTCCATCTGTAAAATGGGGACATTCATCTCATCCTGGTTCAATGTGCCAGAGAAGAACCAATAGAAGCAATGACAACATGTCACACCCATGGAAACACCATGCATGGAAGCATTAGAGTCAGTTCCTCATTTGAACAGCCAAGTGAAAGTCGTTCAGTCGTGTCTGACTCTTTGCTACCCCATGGTCTATTTAGTATATGGAATTCTCTAGGCCAGAATACGGGAGTGGGTAGCCTTTCCCTTCTCCAGGGGATCTTCCCAACCCAGGGATTGAACCCAGGTCTCCCTCATTGCAGGAGGATTCTTTACCAGCTGAGCCACAAGTGAAGCCCAAGTACACACTCAAAACATCTCTGAAGCAAAAGGGCCACACAGCATGAGAGTAAATGCAACCCGGCATTGTATCCTATTGAATTTTTCATCCTTACCAAGGCACACAGCTGCCCTTGACACCATCTGCCATCTGCAGAGTAGGGTGTCACCAGATCAGGAAACTCTAATTCTGGATGTTCTGCTATACTTTCATACTTGGTATCTACATCATCATTCCGGAAGGGCCTGTCCAACATAAATAAATTCCAATTTTCAAGAATGTTTACAAACTGGTTTCTCCGGGTTCTGGATCCACATTCAACCTCGCAAGTCCCCTTCCTCAGTTGGAGGGAAAAGGTGGTATCCACACTCAGGAGACCCTAGTAAAGATCTCTGCTCCCACTTGCCAGCATTTGAGACTGTATTTAATAATACTGTATTGCATATTTGAAAATTGTTGACTAAGTAAATCTTGAAAGTTCTTATCACACAAAAAAATTGTTTTAATTATGTGTGGTGACAGATATTAACTAAACTTGTGGTGATCATTTCGCAATTTATACATATATGAAATCATTCTGTTGTGCAACAGAAACTAATATAAGGTTATATGTCAATTATGTCAAACCTTGATTTAAAAAAAAAAAAAGCCTATTTCCCTGCAGAACTTTGGAGGGTTTTGTGAAATTAAATGATATAATCCTATAAAGTCTTAGGCACATAGTGAGTGCTCAATTATTTAATAATTATTTAAATTATTTCAAAAATAATATTAATTATTTTTCTTATACTTCATGGATATACTCACATATACTTTAAATGTGGTCACTGATGTCAAATGCCTAGTTTAGAGCCTAAGACATACTAAGCTTTCAAGAGTTGGCCATTACTGCTATTACTGCTAGTAGCAGTGAAAGTTGCTCAGTCGTGTCTGACTCTTTGTGACCCCATGGACTGTAGCCTGCCAGGCTCCTCTGGTCCATGGGATTCTCCAGGCAAGAATACTAGGGTGGGTTGCCACTGCCTTCTCCAAGGGATCTTCCTGAGCCCAGATCTCCTGCATTGCAGTCAGATTCTTTACCATCTGAGATACAGGGAAGCCCTATACTGTTAGAAGAAATTAATTCTTCTTGCTGTTGTTGTCATTATTGTCATTATTATCCATAGTTGCTCTCACTCTGCACTAGTGTTGTGACTAAACAGGTCAAAATCTCATAGCTTGTGTGTACTTTTTTAACTGAAACCTTGGCTCATGATGTTGCATAGCTTGAACAACTTGCATTATTTCTGATAAAGAAATAGTGTGGGATCTTGCACTTTGCAGACATTATCCATGGTGTGTTATGCTCCAAATGACAAAAGAGAAATCAGTGAGATTCACCGTTGCCATTCACACTGTTGGACAACAACATGTGTTAGAATGATTAAGCCTAGCTAACATTAAACAGACCAAATGGTCATGATTTTTTGTGGAGGGTATAAGAAACAGAACCAGAACACAACTACAAAAAGTGATTCTTGCTGTGTTAATGGAAAAACAGAACCTTTATCATCCTTGATTATGTTTTCTCGATCCAAAAACAAGTAAGATCTTTCTAGCCTGTGTTTGTGCTCATATATAGCAGACTAGTGTGTTTTTACTTACTGTTCAGATTTTTAACTAAATGTATGATGTGCTTAAAGGAGAAACATCAAGATTCAGAAACATACCACCTTATCAATTGCATCACTCTTATCTTTTATAAATCTTATAGAAGTATAATGGCTGCTCCACAAAAAGATATTAATAATTTTGGAACTTTAACATAAAATTCCATTACATCTTATAACACATAATAATAACATGCTTTCCAAAAATATGGTAATTTTGGAACAGATTCCTGGATTCACTGTGACATTTTTGAAATGCAGATGGTCTAATACTTCATAGTTACAAAGAAGCAAAGAGAACATGATTGAAAATTCTCTAAATATATGGCTATGTCATCATGTCATATGGATATATAATATCTCTTCTCTCAAATTCACTACTGGCTTACAGCTAGAGGTCCCTGAGCAAGGCTGGCCCATGATTTTGAAATCAAGAGGTACTTGGGACAGTGGATGGAGAATGTGACTATGGATAAGGTATCTTGGGTTTGTCCTGCCCTGAAACTCACTAACCACCTGCCAGGGAGTAAGGCACTTAATCCATCTGAGCATTTGTAAAACAGAGCTAGGTGTAATTTCCTTGCTGCTTCATATAGTTAAAGTTCCATTAAGTTTTGAATATAGAGAAACTTGTTCCTTAGGACTTTTGTTCCTTCTTCATTGGACCACTCTAAAAAATATGCACATCTCTTACCTGCCACTCTAAGTAATATTAAATCAAAGCTTTGAACTCTGTAATTCCCTGTGATTATAACCTGCAATCTTTAGAAGTCCTCTGTCTGTCCAACTTCACCTTGTCACCTCCCAGGATGGAAACTCTTAACTTCCTTTGCCTTTCTATGGAATCAGGTCAGCCTCCTCTCTGTGTTTTGTATGAAGCGGCTATCGTTACAAGTTCTATATGCTCACTTGCTTAATATCTGTGTTCTCCTTCAGCACATAAACTTCAAAAGGAGGAAGGGACTTTGTCTCATTCTTAATCTATGACCAAAACCTTGGTCAGTGCCTAGCACATAATGAATATTCAATAACTATATGTTGAGTAGTTGACTGAATGATTATGAAGAGATAAAGCATCTCTTATAACTTATCAGAAGGTGAATGAGAGTCCAAAAGGGCTAGATCAGTTATGGGAATGTAGGCCAGGGTTGCACGGGGCAGATGTAATGTTCAGTGTAAAGTCATTTAGATTTTCCTCCATTACAATTACCAAAGACACAGAAAGGGATGCAACAGCAAACTATTGTAATAAAAACTAAACTCTCTAAGGAAGACCAAGACAACACAGTAATGGTAGCACTGGTCTTAGAGTTTTCAAAGCCAAGAGAGAGAAGGCACTGGCATGAGGTGCCAATGTCTGGCTCTGGTTGAGACAGTGATGGATAAACATCCACATGAGCATATTCTTTGCCTGGTTAGTAGGGTTCAGTTCAGTTCAGTCGCTCAGTCCTGTCTGACTCTTTGCTACCCCATGAACTGCAGCACACCAGGCTTCCTTGTCCATCACCAACTCCCAGAGCTTACTCAAATTCATGTCCTTTGAGTTGGTGAGGCCATCCAGCCATCTCATCCTCTGTCGTCCCCTTCTCCTCCTGCCTTCAGTCTTTGCCAGCAACAGGGTCTTTTTCAATGAGTCAGTTCTTCACATCAGTGGCCAAAGTACTGGAGTTTCAGCTTCAGCATCAGTCCTTCCAATGAATATTCAGGATTGATTGATCTCCTTTAGGATGGACTGGTTGGATCTCCTTGCAGTCCAAGGGACTCTCAAGAGTCTTTTTCAATATCACAGTTCAAAGGTATCAATTCTTCAGCACTCAACTTTCTTTATGGTCCAACTCTCACATCCGTACATGACTACTGGGAAAACCATAGCTTTGACTAGATGGACCTTTGTTGGCAAAGTAATGTCTCTGGTTTTTAGTATGCCAAATTGGTCATAATTTTCCTTCCAAGAAGCAAGCATCTTTCATTTCCTGGCTGCAGTCACCATCGGAGCCCAGGAAAATAAAGTCTGTCACTGTTTCCATTGTTTCCCCATCTATTTGCCATGAAGTGATGGAACCAAAGGCCATGATTTTAGTTTTCTGAATGTTGAGTTTTAAGCCAACTTCTTCACGCTCCTCCTTCACTTTCATCAAGAGGCTCTTTAGTTCTTCTTCACTTTTGGCCATAAGGGTAGTGTCATCTGCATATCTGAGGTTATTGATATTTCTCCTGGCAATCTTGATTCCAGCTTGTGTTTCATGCAGCCTAGCATTTTGCATGATGTAGTCTGTATATAAGTTAGATAAGCAGGGTGACAACATACAGCCTTGACCTACTCCTTTCCTGATTTGGAACCAGTCTGTTTTTCCATGTCCAGTTCTAACTGTTGCTTCTTGACCAGCATACAGATTTCTCAGGAGGCAGGTCAGGTGGTCTGGTATTCCTAATTCTTTAAGAATTTTCCACAGTTTGTTGTGATCCACACAGTCAAAGGCTTTGGCATCATCAATAAAGCAGACATAGATGTCTTTCTGGAACTCTCTTGCTTTTTTGATGATCCAACGGATGTTGGCAACTTGATCTCTGGTTAGTAGGGTTGGTGGTGTCTTTTCTGGAGTTCAGGACTTCCTGGTGGGTCAAAAGATAAATAATTCATCCTCAATGCAGGAGACCCAGGTTCAATCCCTGGGTTGGGAAGATGCCCTGGGGAAGGAAATGGCAACCCACTCCAGTATTCTTGCCTAGATAATTCCATGGACAGAGGAGACTGGAAAGCTGTCCATGGGGTCACAAAGAGTCAGACATGACTGAGCAACTAAAACACACTTTTCTGGAGATTAGTACCTTAACTTCCATGTAGGACCTCCAGGGCAATTGGAGAATAAAAGGAGGAAAATGCTGCCTACCATACAGGCACTGAAAGTTTACAGAACATATATGCTACTTTCTGGGGACTTTAAAACAATGTGCATTATAATCCCCTAAATTATTATAATCTGCAAAACCCAAGTTAAAATGTGCTGACCTGTCTAGTGATTTGCAATTGGTAAAGTGTGTGTGTGTAAGAGTTAAATACAATATTAACAAAAGATATAGTCCTTATTGTTAATGAAGTTAGAGCAGGCACAAACATGTCAGGTCTCCACATCCTCGTTGTGTATGTGCCAAAAGTGGTGAAAAGATACAGTCAACCGGGCTGATTGAACAGTTTTTTGGAGAAATAGGAAAGATACTTGAGAATTACTAGCATAAATGGGGAAGAATCAATTGAATGAGACCCAAAAACTTGGAAGGAATTTGAAGGCAATAGTCAAAAGAATGACATGAAGAAAGGAGGTCATAAGTAATAAGAACTATATGAACATAGCATATATAGAATATTTGTGATGGAACAGGTTTTAAGTATCCTCTTTGGAAATACATGGTTTTGATTTTTGGTCCTTACCACACAATGTTCGTTTCTTAAGTGCTCAGAAATTCAACTTTTTCATCCATAAAAACTTAGCTGATATTGTCTACTTTTCATGGCTACATGGAAGATTTTAAGAGTTACTGTAAATGAAAGTTACAGCATGACATATGGGAGTTGTAATTAATATTTAGTCCCTTGTGCTCTTTTTACAAATGAGGAAACTGAGATCCAAAGAAATCATTTACCTGAAACCACAGATATTTGCTGACTAAGAATCATGATATCTCAGTTCTTGTACATATACTATTTCTACAAGATTTCAAAAGTGTTTTGTCCTTCCCCTATTGAAGTATTAGGGCTTCCCTGATGTCTCAGTGGGAAAGAATCCACCTGCCAATGCAGGAGAAACAGGTTTGATCCTTGGGTTGGAGAAGGGAATGGCTACACTCCAGTATTCCTGCCTGGGAAATCCCACGGACAAAGGAGCCTGGCACAGTGCGGTCCATGGGGTCAAAAATGAGTCGGACACAACTTAGTGACTCAACAAGAATGGAAAACTTATGTATTACTAAAAACTAAGAGAACACAGAAATATCTCACCAAGATTTATTACTCAAAGATAATCACTTTTATATTGCACTGATTTTTTTTTTTAACATTCCTCTCTATGGGAAGAATTTTTGTGAGTTTTTGTTTTTACTTCATGGTGGTTTTATTGCTTCTAGCTTAATTAATTAGTATTCTGATTTAAGCATTATTAATGGCACACAGCATTTCAACTGATGCATACTCCAAGTTTATCAGCATTTATTCACATTTATTAAACAGGCTATTTCCAAATTTTCACATGAAATTATGCCATTGGCTTCCTTGATGGCTCAGTGGGTAAGGAATCTGCCTGCAATATAGGAGACACAGGAGGGTGGATTTGAACCCTGGATTGTGAAGATCCTGTGGAGGAGGAAATGGCAACCCACTCCAGTATTCTTGCCTGGAAAATCCCATGGACAGGGGAGCTATAGGGGTGGGCTCTAGCGCATGGGATCCCAAAGAGCCGAACACAACTGAGCAACTAAGGAACAAAAACAACTTGGGACCTAATTTTTAAATAATTGGCATTTAAAACATTTATCCTTTCTATTCATCTTATGCCTTTCAATGTATACAACTGGAGGATTTCAGGGCAATATTGAGAGGAACTTGGGAAAGGGACAAGCACAGTAGTTTAGAAATGGAAGGATAAGTGTCAACCGGGTGCGAAAGGGTAGTAAGCAGTGTAACACACCCACATGGAAAGGCAGGAGTCAAGAGTTTGTACTCGGAAGTTCAACACTTTCCAATGTGAGAAGTTTGACAAGTTAGTTAAACACCTCAGCCTCAGTTACCTTATCTATACAAGGAGCATATTAATAGA